TGAATAACTAAATAATACCTGGTATCCAAGTAGTAGTCCCAAACCATCACTGCTCTTTTCCTTGGTCAGAACATAATCTCAACTCTCATTGCCATTTCTCTTCATAATCCTGAAGTACTCTGTTGGCTGCCCTTGCAACCCCTCCCCTTTTTTTTCTTTTGGAAGAGGCTTTGTCCATTCTGTGGTATGTAGTTTTCCTGTTATTATTTTTACAGGCTCTCACCATTCTTATAGGTTCACACCATTCCTATATGCACCCAAATCAGGTATACTAATAAGTTTTTAATCCTAGAATAAATCACTGTGACTACGTTCTGTAAAAACCTATCATCCAAATATGGGAAACAGTTTCTGCAACCAAAGTTTGGGATTTAGTGAACTCATATAACAATGACTTCAATAATTGATTTTTTTTTTTTTAAAAAAGCAACCATACTAAAAGAAAATCATCAGATTAGCAAAAAAAGTGACATGATGATAATGGCAAAGTTACACGGTCCAAACTTTTGTGTAAAAAAATTTGAAGCTTTCCATCTTGAAGTCATAAACTCTTGGTTAATTATATTGTTTTGTGGAAAGCTTGACTGAAAGTAAACAAGTTTATTTACTGTCAGATGAAGTTGGTTTTAAGACAAACTAGTAATTGTGGTATATTATCTTCACTGGAACAACTTCATTTCCTTACTCATCTCTGGAGGTGGCTTCTCATTGGTCTATGATTCCAATGGCCTGAATGAACAACAATTAAAGATCAAAATCTATTTGGATAGGTGAGTCAGAAGCATTGATTCTGGGTAAAATAGGAGAGCCTTGGACACCCTCATATGTAGATGTCTAAACACTGCAGTGGAACTATTCATCCCAATATGGCACATTGTTACATATCTCCCATGAAAACAATCAATAAAGCATTTAGCCAAGAATGGTACCTACTTTTGTTTCTGAATAGCTTGTAATGATAACCTGTCAATAAATAGTTGCTGAGAATTGTGTAGAACACAGTAAAAAGGTTCTTCAAGCACTTATAGGAAGCTTACATGGTTAGTTTCCTGTCCTCAAGAAGTCTACAAATCTGTTAGAGGAAATAGGATTCTGAAATACTCCAATGGTTGCAAATGTTAGTAATTAGCTAACATTCACTGAGTGTCTACAAAGTACCAGATACCATTCTAAGCACTCAGGACACTGTAATGAACAAGTAGACAAAAATTCCTGTACTGGGGCACCTGGGTGGCTCAGTCGTTAAGCGTCTGCCTTCAGCTCAGGTCATGATCCCAGGGTCCTGGGATCGAGCCCTGCATTGGGCTCCCTGCTCCGTGGGGAAGCCTGCTTCTCCCTCTCCTACTCCCCCTGCTTGTGTTCCCTCTCTTGCTGTGTCTCTGTCAAATAAATAAATTAATTTAAAAAAATCTTAAAAAAAAATTCCTGTACTTATGGAGCTTACATTCTAGTGGGGGAGTGGGTAGAAAGTCAGAAAATAAATAAGATAAATAAGTAGGTCAGATAAGTAAAACTATAGGATTGTACCAAATCAAAACCTCAATGAGATACTACCTCATACCAGTCAGAATGGCTAAAATTAACAAGTCAGGAAATGACAGATGTTGGCAAGGATGCAGAGAAAGGGGAACCCTCCTACATTGTTGGTGGGAATGCAAGCTGGTGCAGCCACTCTGGAAAACAGTATGGAGGTTCCTCAGAAAGTTGAAAATAGAGCTACCCTACGACCCAGCAATTGCACTACTGAGTATTTACCCCAAAGATACAAATGTAGTGATCTGAAGGGAGAAGTGCACCCCAATGTTTATAGCAGCAATGTCCACAACAGCCAAACTATGGAAAGAGCCAAGATGTCCGTCAACAGATGAGTGGATAAAGAAGATGTGGTATACATATACAATGGAATATTATGCAGCCATCAAAAAAACCCCCAAATTTTGCCATTTGCAATGACGTGGATGGAACTAGAGGGTATTATGCTAAGCGAAATAAGTCAATCAGAGAAAGACATGTATTATATGATCTCACTGATAGGAGGAACTCTTAATCTCAGGAAACAAACTGAGGGTTCTGTTCATTTATTAATCACAAAGCATTATGCTAAGTGAAATAAGTCAAGCAGAGAAAGTCAATTATATGGTTTCACTTATTTGTGGAACGTAAGGAATAGCATGGAGGATATTAGGAGAAGGAAGGGAAAAATGAAGGGGGGGAAATCGGAGGGGGAGTTGAACCATGAGAGACTATAGACTCTGAGAAACAAACTGAGGGTTCTAGAGGGGAGGGGGTTGAGGGATGGGTTAGCCTGGTGATGGGTATTAAGGAGGGCACGTATTGAATGGAGCATTGGGTGTTATACGCAAACAATGAATCATGGAACACATCAAAAACTAATGATGTAATGTATGGTGATTAAAATAATAAAATTTAAAAGAAAAACCAAAAATCTATAGGATTTTATAGACACTGCTAGAAATACAATGCAAACCACATATGTAATTGTCAATTTTCCATTAGCCATATTAAAAAGTAAGAAGAAATAGGTGAAATTAAATCTCATTAAATTTTTTATTTTGGAATAATTCTTGGTTTACACAAAGGTTGCAAATGTAGTACAGAAAATTGGTGTATACTCTTCACTCAATTTCCCTATTTTTAAGGTCTTATATAACTGTCAAAATTAAGACACCAACACTGGTACATTACTATTAACTAAATCACATTTATTATTTGGATTTCATCATTTTGCCCATTAATGTCCACTTTCTGTTCCAGGATCCAATCCATGATACCATATTGCATTTAGTTGTCATGTCTCCTTAGTCTCCTCTGGTCTGTGACAGGGGATATTAATTTTAATAATATATCTTATTTAATACACTATATAAAAAATATTTCAAACTGTGATCAATATTTACATTATCCATAATATATTTTACATTATTTTTTCATACTAAGTCTTCAAAATCCAGTGTGTATTTATACTTAAAACATATAAGCACTTTCACAGAAAGTACTTAATCTGCATTTAGATCTCACAAGATTTACATTTGAAAAAGTAGATTCACATACTCAGGTTCTAAACATACTTAAAAGTTCCAATAATTGCCCAGAATGTCAGGTTTTAATGAACTTAATTAATTTAAAAATTCAGTTCTTCAAATGCACTAGCCACATTTCAAGTGCTCAATAGTCTACGTAGCTAATAATTACCATATTGAACAGTACAGCTCTAGACCATTCTAAGGACTTTTGGCTTTTATTCTGGGTGAGACAGGGAGCTCTGAAGGGTTTTGAGCAAAGGTGTGATGTGATGTGATTGATTTAAGAATACTCTGCTGTGCTGGAGAATAAGTTGAAGTGAGGCAAAGGCAGACACAAGGAGACCAGCCAGGAGGCTACTGCACTAATCTAAGCGAGTGATGAAGGACTAGGCTGGTACCAGTGAAAGTTGGGAAGTGATAGGATTCCAGGAATACTTTGCTGGACCTAACACAATCTGCTTATAGATTGTATGTGGTGTCATGGATGACACCAAAGGTTTTGGCCTAAAAATTAGAACGAGATTGTCTTTTACAGAAGTTTTTGTAAGAAGCAGGTTTGGGGGATAAGGGAGAAGAAGATCGGAGGCTGTTTTAGACATTTTCAATTTTTAGGTACCTATGAGACAGTTAAGTGGAGATGTTAAGTAGGCAGTGTATATATGATTCTGGAGTTCAGGGGGGAGAGCTCAGCTGGAAAAATAAATTTGGGGGTCATTAGCATATAGTTGATGTTTAAAAATTAAGACTGGAGATTACCAAAGGAATGAATATATAGAAAGAAGTGTTAGGGTGAGGTTATTCAGCAGCTGTATTTTTAGGAAGATTCAAGTTTTGAAATCAGGCCCCAAGAGATCAACAGAATTGGTGGAATAATAATTCCTTCCAAGTAAAAGCAGCGTTAGACGCAACGGTGTAAAGGTGGCGATCACCCAACCATAGTCTACGGCAGATGATTCTCTTCTGCTGAGGTAAAAATAATTAGCCAGTAGATATAGAAAGATGCAGTAAGTGAGGAAGGGCTTTCTTGCTGGCTAAGTAGCTAGCCAGAGCTGGGAATGCGAGGGTTCTAAGGACAGTTTTGGAGTTAACAAGTGACAGCTGTAATCCGTTTCCTACACATACAACCAGCCTGTTCTACCATACAGCATTATGTCCTAATGCTGGTACAACAAAGACAGCTCTTCGATTGGCAGAGAAGAGAAAGTGTTGCCTTGAATCACAAAGCCACTTTAACAGCAGAGCTCAGCAAGGGTAGATTACTAGGGAGGTGCCCTTTCCCTGAGGGCACCTGGGCTCCTGAATGGGACAAATTCGGAGGGAGGGCGCTGATCAGGCGGGTTCGGGCCGCTGCAATCCAGACGGGCTTGTGAATTCTGCACAGAAGTCTGACAAAGGGGAGGGCCTTAGCTTGAAGACGAAGCGCGGAGTTATTTATTCTAGGAGAGCGGAAAGGCACAAATGGAAAGCTCAAGGACAAAAAACACTGAGATTCTTGCGCAGGCCGCAGAGTTGAAGGTAGCTCTGCGAACGAACCGTTCTTGCCATATCCTCCCTAAGCCGGGCAGTGGGGAGGGCGAAGGACAGACTCCGGGGGCAGTGCGGCGGGAAGGGCCGACTCAGAGGGCATCTTTTAGGTCCTGATGCTCGGGGCAACGGTCCCCATCACTATTTTCCTCTCACCAGGTAGCTCCGCCCAGAGGTGACTCCCTCCCCGGCAAAAAATTTGGCCTGGTCAAACGAGAAAGTGCAGTAAAACTGGCCTATTGACAGTCCGGGAACGCCCACCAAATACAAGCGCCTAGGTACCGCCGGTGGAGTCAGAGCGCACGAACCTCCTAAGGCGGAACTGGCGGATCGCAGGGAGCCGGGCGGTGCTGACGCACGCAAGCCAATTACGGCAGACGCTTCCACGTGACTAGAACTGACCAATAGGCAGTTGCGACGATAGCGGCGGGGAAATTCAAACGTGTTTGAGGAGAGGGGTCTGGATTCCATCTTTTCTTCCCTACTCCGCTTTCTGGCGGTGAGTTCTCCCTCGCGGGCACACCGAGGAACGGCGGCGGCCCGTGTGTGGGCTCTTTAGCCACAAGGGTCGGTGAGTGGTTAGGGCGCGGCGGGGAGGACTCAGAGCCTGGTAGAAGACGTAGGGCGCGGCTAAACGAACTGAAGGGGGAGAGGAGGTCTCGCTGCTTCCGGCAATCCAAGGTGGTGAGGGAGATTTTGTTGAGGACCCAGGAAACAAGAGGTGGGTGTGTACCTCGCTGAAGAGGGCCTGGAGGGCACCTGGGGAGAGTTTTGGGGCCATGAAATCGTCTCCCAAAAGACACGCCCTCTTGTCTGGTGTTTTAGAACAGGGAGAGGAGACAGTGACCCCGTTCTGACAGTTACCTTTTGAACCTGACTTCAAACAGTGGTTTCTAGCTGCCCACTTTATCGCCCCTTTTCATTGTCAAACTCGAGGTCAGGGGCGGCATTAATATCAGTTACCCTGGGCTACTGGGTTAATGTCTGAGAATCACAAACCTGAGATTGACAGGAAGAACGACTGCAGACACTTTGTAACATCACCACCGTGCAGATGAGCAAGTGCTGGTGCTATAAGAATGCAGTAGATTTTTGGTTTTAGAATGATTAAGATAGCAAACCATAATTCTGCCAGATAGGCATAAGAACAAGCCTTCTGATACCACTTTATCAATAAAAGGCAATAATGTGTATATATTCTGCTTTGAACGCACTTGCAATGTGCAGGCTTACTCGCATACAGCAGGTGAATAAAGGAATGGTTTTCATTATCAAAAATATTCATTATGTCTATATGTCACTACCAGAATCCAAGTAAACACTCCCTCACATTTTAAAAAATGACTAAATTTGCAGATGGCCCAGAGGAAATAATTCTGGAAAAAGAGTGAAAGGAAAGTGTGGGAGAAAAATGGAAAGTTTGAAAGCAAGGAGGGGCAGCAATTTCTGTGTTGTGCAATGACTTCACTGAAGTTCTTTTGTGAAGAAAAGGTGTATCTGGCCTATTGGAAACCTTGCTGGACAAATTACAAGGATGTGCTGTTGTTTTTATGCACATAGTTTCACAAATACTACTCTGATAATACATGTGTTTAGATGTGTTCGTATAACTAATGCTTTCGTCTTCTGGGTTCTAAAAGGCTAGCTGAGACATATTTTCTTTAATGCTAGTAAAAAGGAATGATGACCAGTTCAAATTTTTTTTTTTTTTTTGCCTTAGAAATGGAGGCTGAGGAGTTAAGTGGCAGAGAATTGACAATTGATTCTATAATGAACAAAGTGAGAGATATTAAAAATAAATTTAAAAATGAAGACCTTACTGATGAGCTAAGCTTGAATAAAGTCTCTGCTGATAATACAGGTGAGTTCCTTTTCTTTGAGTGCCTGCTAAGGTAAAGGAATGAAGTGTTAACCACTTGTATTTCATAAATGTAATTTTCTCAGTAATTGTTACTTGCCAGTTAGTCTACAAACACTTTATATTTTAAACCTTCTGTGTGGAAATGTTCCACAATTTTCTGCTTAAAAACAGAAACTTATTACAGTATGCTCTTAACTCTTCCATTACTGTCAGCTGTTATTTCTGTTGATACGCCTGCCATCAGTAGATATGCCATCTTTTTCCATTCTTTTTTTTGCTGCAAACAGAAAAACATCATGAATCTTAATGAAATTATGGTATAAACTTAAAGTCAAAACTCCATTTTTGATAGGGGAGAATCTTCCTATTACTCCCCCTTTAATTCTCTTCTCCTTTGCTTATTACTCTGTTCCAGCGACAGTGGCTTCCCTGCTATCTCCTATATTCTAGACCAGCTTATATCCCAATCCCTTTGTTCTTTCTCTCCGCCTTGAACACCACTCCCAAGATAATCTGCCAACTCTTAGCTTTTCCAGGTCTGTTCACAGGTCATCTCGGTAAGGCCTTTCCTAGCTCACTTAAAATAGCAACCTACTGGTGTGAGCATGTGTATCCTTTCCCTGTATTATTTTTCTCCATAGCATTAATCACCTTATATCTAATTTACTCATGAATTTGTTTGTCTGTCTCCTCCACTAGAACATGAGCTCCATGAAGGCATGATTTTTATCTGTTTTGTTATATCTACAGGGCTTAGAATGTTGCCTGACATGTAGTGGATACTTACATTTTTATTGGATGATGAATCAGTAAAAGTGCCCAAAGTTTAATACCCTAGCTTTATGAACAGTTAGCTCAGAAGCCTAATTCTCTATTTCAGATTATTGAGGTTGTTTTGAAAAGTGACCTTTAGATAAATTTGTTATGTCTATACTGACCATTAAATGGATGAGGGATTAAGTGGAAGAACCTGAAATCTAGTCATGATGGTAGATCATATTCAATTGAAACAACCTAGAAAATGAATATTACCATACTTTATTATGTGTACTTAAATAATGTTAAACCTTGCACACCAAGATGAGTCCTTATTTAAAATTCTTAGCTCGGGGCACCTGGGTGGCTCAGTCAGTTTAGCGTCTGCCTTGGGCTCAGGTCATGATCCCAGCGTCCTGGGGTCAAGTCCCATATTGGGCTCCCTGCTTGTCAGGGAGCCTGCTTCTCCCTCCTCTGCCGCCCCACCCCCCTGCTTGTGCTCTCTCTTGCACTCTCCCTCTTTCAAATAAATAAATAAAATCTTAAATAAAATAAAATTCTTAGCTCACTCAAAACTGTGAATACTTAACATATATTGATAACTGGGATATAAGACATTATCATAAGTATTGAGGGAAATCCAAAGATTAAAACCATGGTTTCTAGGTGACAAAAATTTATGTAATCACTACACTGCACTGTGAAATATGTTTGGCATCAAATAAATACTAACACAATAAGGCACAATTTAAGTTCTGAGTAGAGGGAGAATGGAGTACTCAGAGACCTGAGGAGTTCATTTGCAAACACTGTTTTTGTTTTGTAAATTTTATTTAAATTAAATTAATTAACATATAATGTATTATTAGTTTCAGAGGTAAAGGTCAGTGATGCATCAGTCTTCTGTAACACCCAGTGCTCAGTACTTCACGTGCCCTCCTTAATGTCCATCACCCAGTTACCCCATCTCCCCACCCCCTTCTCCAGCAACCCTCAGTTTGTTTCCTATGATTAAGAGTCTCTTATGGTTTGTCTCCCTGAGTTGTCTTGTTTTATTTTTTCCTCTCTTCCCCTATGATCCCGTTTTTTTCCTTAAATTCCACCTATGAGTGAGATTGTATGATAATTGTCTTTCTCTGATTGACTTATTTTGCTTAGCATAATACCCTCTAGTTCCATCAGGTCATTGCAAATGGCAAGATTTCATTTTTTTTGATGGCTGAGTAGTATTCCATTGTATATATATACACCACATCTTCTTTATCCATTCGTCTGTTGATGGACATCTGGGCTCTTTCCATAGTTAGGCTATTGTGGACATTGCTGCTATAAACATTGGGGTGCAGGTGCCCCTTCAGATCACTACATTTGTATCTCTGGGGTAATTACCAGTAGTGCAATTGCTGGGTCTTAGGGTAGCTCTATTTTCAACTTTTTGAGGAACCTCCATACTGTTTTCCAGAGTAGCTGCACCAGCTTGCATTCCCACCAACAGTGTAAGAGGGTTCCCCTTTCTCTACATCCTCACCAACATCTGTCATTTCCTGACTTGTTAATTTTAGCCATTCTGACTGGTGTGAGGTGGTATCTCATTGAGGTTTTGATTTGTATTTCCCAGATGCCCAGTGATGTGGAGCATTTTTTCATGTGTCTGTTGGCCATTTGGGTGTCTTCTTTGGAGAAATGTCTGTTCATGTCTTCTGCCCATTCCTTGATTGGATTATTTGTTCTTTGGGTGTTGAGTTGGATAAGTTCTTTATAGATACTGGATACTAGCCCTTTATCTGATATTTGCAAATATCTATGCTCATTCTGTCAGTTGTCTTTTAGTTTTGTTGACTGTTTCCTTTGCTGTGCAAAAGCTTTTTATCTTGATGAAGTCCCAGTAGTTCATTTTTGCCTTTGTTTCCCTCGCCTTCTAGCAAGAAGTTGCTGTGGCCAAGATCATAGAAGTTGGCTGCTTGTGTTCTCTTGGATTTTGATGGATTCATGTCTCACATTTAGGTCTTTCATCCACTTTGAGTCTATTTTTGTGTATGGTGTAAGGAAATGGTCCCCTTTCATTCTTCTGCATGTAGCTGTCCAATTTTCCCCAACATCATTTGTTGAAGAGACTGTCTTTTTTCCACTGGATATTCGTTCCTGCTTTGTCAAAGATTAGTTGACCATAGAGTTGAGGGTCCATTTCTGGGCTCTCTATTCTGTTCCATTGATCTATGTGTCTTTTTGTGCCAGTACCATACTGTCTTGATGATTACAGTTATGTAATAGAGCTTGAAGTCCGGAATTGTGATGCCACCAGCTTTGGTTTTCTTTTTCAATATTCCTTTGGCTATTCGGCATCTTTTCTCATTCCAACACAGTGGTTTTTAGACCTCTTGCAGACTAAGTTCTTAGGAGCTCAATGGAAGGGAGGTAAAAAAATGGAAAATGAAATTAATATCAGGCCAGATTAAATTTAAAATAAAAAAGCAGAGTAATGAATATGTTATGTTTTAGTAAAAAGCAGAAACAGTAATTTTGTTTGTTAAAGCAAAGATTTGCCCTTTTTGAAGGCAACTGAAACTGATAGAAGGAATGATAGTTTCTTTGGGAAATCTGAATTTAATAATTTATTGTTTAGTAATGACTAAAATATCCTGAACAGGAGACTGACATTAATTCAATTTGTCCTTTTAAAACAATTGACAGTAAAGAAAGTAAAAAAAAAAATAAGTTACAACATGAAAATTATGGAGAAATATGGGTAACTTGCAGGGAGAAGAAAATAACCATACCAGTTACTTATCTTTTATAAATTGTTTTTAATTGGGTTAAAGGTAAGTTTGAGATATATGGAGATAATGTTGCATGGGTGAGGTTGTAAAGAAGGTTATGTTAGGAATGGGGCAATAAGTTTTAAAATTTTTAATGAATAAGTCATTGATGAGGAATTTTCTAACAGTTGTTACAAGTGGTGGTGGGAGAGACTTAGGTTTTCTTTGGATAGTTAGGGGGCTGAAATAGAATTATGTTGCTAGAGCATAAAATTTTCTTAGACTACATATGGCCTTTTAAAAGCTACTTATAAAAGAGCTTATTTCCAAAGTTTTTCTTTCCTTCAAAATATGTAACTTTAGGAATAAAATAAACTCTTATAAAGGCATACATGCAGTAAATAAGTTGCTCATATTTATAGGAATTGTTAAAGTTTTATAGTGTTTTAAGGAGCTTATGAACATTTATACTGAGAATATAAATTATTAACTAATTTGAAAGGAAAGTGCAATTTGGCATTTGTTTTGGTATATTTTGTTCCTCTTATTCAGATAACTCGGGAACTGTTAACCAAATTATGATGATGGCAAACAACCCAGAGGACTGGTTGAATTTGTTGCTCAAACTAGAGAAAAACAGTGTCCCCCTAAATGAAGCTCTTTTAAATAAATTGATTGGTCGTTACAGTCAAGCAATTGAAGCCCTTCCTCCAGATAAATATGGCCAAAATGAGAGTTTTGCTCAAATTCAAGTGAGATTTGCTGAATTAAAAGCGTAAGTATTCACTTATTAACTACATTAACTACATCACATTGCACATAACTACATTATAAAAGAAACATGTCAGGATTAATTATAAGAAAATTAATATTTTTTAACCAAATCCTTTTGTTTATAATTAACAAGTGAGTATTGTAAACTCTGTTTACTATGTACATATTTCTACAAAAGTTACATATTCTGGACTCCGCCTAAAAAGATTTTAAAAACTAACTGATTAGTATTTAATTTTACAAACAGAGAAAAACATGCCATGTCCCTTGGAAAATTGAATGAGGAGTTATCAAACTTAAGTAGCTATGTCCTTCTTCTTAAAATTTGACTCTATAATCTTTATTACAGTATTCAGGAGCCGGACGATGCCCGTGACTACTTTCAGATGGCCAGAGCAAACTGCAAGAAATTTGCTTTTGTGCATGTATCTTTTGCACAGTTTGAACTATCACAAGGTAATTTGAAAATGTCAAGTCCAAATTTTAAGTAATAGATAACTTCCTGCTGTAACTCAGACTGTAATGTTAAATCATACATATGAAGTAGAAATTTGAGGTGAAAGGCATGGAAGTTGATAAGATGAGAATATGGGGGAAGAATGCCACCAAAGTGTAAATGCAGAGAATATCTGTTATACTAGCTTTTCTACTTGTAAGGCATAATCCAGGGAAATAAGCATGAACATCGTATTTGTGCTATTAATTAGATTCAGGAAATGCCTAAGGAAAGTGGCTTTTTCACTGCATACTTGTGCAGTAGAAGGATATCAGATACTTAAGTTAGCACTTAGATAAACTTTCCTTATGCTATGGTTTCATACTACAAAAATATATATCAAAATATAATTATAGCATTAATTGGTACTTCCCCCTTTTTAATTAAAAAGAAAAGCAAACTGCTGTAGAAGCTTTTATTTCTTGTTTTTTTTGATTCTTGAATAGTCTGGACTTTTTGGACTTTTGGATAGAACCATGGCAATCTCTTCCTCAGACATTTTTAGTCTACCTATTCTGTCTTTTCTTTTTCTCATTTTCTGGGACTTTTGGATCCATGCTCAGTCTGCCCTCTAGCCACATTCCTAATTTTCCCTCTGCTCCAGCCCTGATCCCATTTACTACCAGTGATACACATAACACTAACTGGTTTGGCTCAGCCAGAATCCCCATCATCGTGCCCATAGCAGGGCTCAGTCACTGGAGTGTATTTCCCAGGACTGAGGTTGGAGAAAAGCATTGTGAAAACTCAGGAAATGGTTTGAAAACCCTGGACTTTTACTTATTTATAATATTTCTGAGTCCTAGTTATCTGAATCATCTCTAATCTATCCTGTGTACTGTCAGGTGACTTAAAAAAAAATTCATTCCTTTTTTGCCTAGGAAAATTGATTACTCCTTGCTTATTAGAGTAAGTTTGGCCAGACCTTTAATACCCTCTCTCCATTTTACTTAAAACATTTGTTGAAGTATTATGGCCTATCAACAGCAACTATAAATTTTATATCTTTAGAACATATAAATATTGAAAATCTCAAATTTTGTTATCTGTAAAAAAGAAATAACCTTTATCACTGCGATGTAGTAGTGGCCTCAAGGTCAAAATTGTGATTATTTTGAACAAGGTTATGAATAGGCTCTCAGGAAATATACACATCTCTGAAATCCTATGTGTAGTTAGGTGTGTATGTATATTTTTGTAGTGTTGGAAGACAGTCCATAGTTTTTATCAGACTCTCGAAGGGGTCTGTGACCTTATTAAGCTCCCTAATACTAGTTCTTATCTAAGCCTGCCTTTCTTTTGCTGCCCTAAAATGCTCAAATCCTGAAATACCAGTACTCTGAATAAATGTATACTTAGCCACTATCAGATAGATTTATATTCTTAAAATTTGTAAACTGTCAGAAACCAGAGGCCGTCTCTTAATCATTTTTAAATCCGAAGTGCCAAGTGTGTAGCATAGCTGAGTGGCTCCCATAAATGCTAATAACACATTCCATATGATCCATGATGTATACATTTGATATTTAGCAATCAAATTCTAGACAAAATATATTAAGTTTGCATTTGAAAGGAAATTTGATGATTTATTTGTAGTCAGATAATTTTAGTAGTCTCAATTATTTTGCATTTTTGGGATAGTATAGCTAAGTCTGGTAGCTAAAGACTAATCTTTGTCATTACTTTTTAAAATATGAGTCCTTTTGAGAGAGAATTCCCTTTAGCAAAAGATGTCGACCTTAATAACTAAATGTTGTCATGAATGATAATTATTATACTGCACTGTAATAGATTGGTGTTCTTGGGACTATAGTAACATCTAGGGCTTAGTTTTCCCTTTTACTAAGTTCCTTAAGTTTCTGTTTTATTTGGTTTTTGCTACCCCCACTTTATACTGCTTTGTTATATTTCTTTTACTTTTGAAAATGGACAATGATGATAAAGCTAATGCATAATTATGTTAATTACATATTAAATAAGTAAACTATTTGACAGGAATTATTACCAAAAGAGAAACTGCTTTTATTTGCTTATGAAATAAGGTACATGAATCTTGGATCTTGGAATAAATATTTTTGCCTAAGCCTTTTAAATTTTTCCCTAGGTCCTGATGAATAAGTATCTGGGGAATGAAGATTACTGCATTAAAATGACATTTATTTTTTACTTTGTTAGGTAATTTCAAAAAAAGTAAACAACTTCTTCATAAAGCTGTAGAATGTGGAGCAGTACCACTGGAAATGCTGGAAATTGCCATTCGGAATTTGAACCTTCAAAAGAAGCAGCTGCTTTCAGAGGAGGAAAAGAAGAGTTTATTAGGTAAATGTATTAATGTGTGCTACTACTTTTCTGTGGTAGATTGTCTGTAAAAAAGAATACAGGGTAGTATTTTATTTATTTTTAGAGATTTTTTATTTATTTGAGAGAAAACATATGCACAAGTGAGGTGTGGAGGGAAGGGGGGAGCAGAGGGAGAGGGAGAAAACCCTGGACTTTTACTTATTTATAATATTTCTGAGTCCTAGTTATCTGAATCATCTCTAATCTATCCTGTGTACTGTCAGGTGACTTAAAAAAAAAATTCATTCCTTTTTTGCCTAGGAAAATTGATTACTCCTTGCTTATTAGAGTAAGTTTGGCCAGACCTTTAATACCCTCTCTCCATTTTACTTAAAACATTTGTTGAAGTATTATGGCCTATCAACAGCAGGGCTCCATCCCAGAACCCCAGGATCATGACCTGAGCTGAAGGCAGACGATTCACCAACTAAGCCACCCAAGTGTCCCCAGGATAATATTTTAAAGAAAATACCATCTTTGTAGAATGATCAAAATCTAAATTTTAGATGTAAAGGAGGTAGGACTTTTAGAAGTAACAAAATATTTATTAACCCTTTTGGAATTTTTTTTTCCCCTAATCAAACTCATTAGTAACACATTAAAAACAATCTAAGCAAGAGATTAGGGGTGCCTTTATTCTGGGGAAACAGGTATGTCATGAATCAGTTGTGAAGTATAGTTAGAGGATTATCTTCATAACATCTTCATGTCTGCATATCTTATTTGAGGACAAGTGTTTACCATAAATTATCTTTTTAAATATTCTTATTTCTGAGATTACTTTTTTTGTGTATTCCTTATATCTTTATGAATTTAATTACAATTTAAAAATGTTTACAACATCTACAGTATTGACTGCTCAAGAATCATTCCCCAGTTCACTTGGACACTTACAGAATAGGAACATCAGTTGTGATTCCAGAGGACAAACTACGAAAGCCAGGTTTTTGTATGGGTAAGGAAACTAAATCTGTTTTTTAAATGTTCATCATGTATTTACATTATTTATACACCTGCATATGTATTTTAATGTTATGGTAATAACATTAGCAATTAATAGAAATACATATGTTAATATTATTCTTTTAAAAATTGGGGTATTTTCTTTCTGTATAGAGAGAACATGCCCCCTCAAGATGCAGAGATAGGTCATCGAAATCCCTTGAAACAAACAAACAAAGCTAAACGAGTAAGTTATTTTTAATCTACCTTGATTAAAGTGATAGCAGTGAGGTATATGTTTATTTCCTAGTTGGTTACTTAATCTTTCAAAACATTTTTAGTCATGCCCATTTGGAAGAGTCCCAGTTAACCTTCTAAGTAGCCCGGATTATGGGAAGACAGATGGTTCAGTTGTACCAAGTTTTACAAAAAGGTATGTTTGAATTTTAATTTTTTGTTTTCAATACTTAAAGATTGGTGACAGAATGGTCACAAAGTCTTTTATTGCCTAATAGTAATTTTGATTAAATTTTTATTTAGTATTAAAGGTTACCGAGTCTCTAAATGCTATTAGGAAGAAAGGAATGACTTTATTTTACTTTTTCACTCATTAAAAATTAAAGGAATGGGAGTGCCTGGCTGGCTCAGTTGCTGGAACATGTGACTCTTGATCTTAGGGTTGTGAGTATGAGCCCCATGTTGGGTGTAGAGATTACTTAAAAATAAAATCTTAAAAAAAGAAATTGAATGATTAACAAATTAGGAAACACAGCAGAAAAAATACTAGGTCAATATTAAAAGTTTATGCAGATGTTCCTGGGGTAAAAACTCCTGTTTGGACATTTCTTGCTTATGGATAGCCTCTCTGGTAATAATCTCTTCCTCATGTGTATGAATGTCTTCATAGCAGGGGCAGGAACAATTTCTTTGCTAGCAGGTTCAAGGAAAAGAGCTGCTATCAATGGGAAAGATGATGAATTCACTCATTTGCTTCAGAGCCCAGGGTATCAAGAGGTGGAGAAGGGCAGGTAGAGATAAAATATTGTTCATCACATCCAGTGTGTTCTCCTTCCTTCAAGTTGAGTGTTTATCCCCTTAAAGGAAGTGGGAATCTAGTAATCCAGCTTAGCTAAGGAAATTTTTCTGTTCTGTTCTTATCTCTAATCATTCTTGATTTCTTATTTCTATTAGAAAAGGCTCCTTGGATTCCAGAGAATCGTTTTGCAAATAAACTTCAGAAGTACAACTGCTTGTTCTTAGTTGACATCCTCTTTAATTAAAATCCTGTCATGCTTAGGGCTTGACTAAAGATAGATATTAAGAGAGCATTTTGGTTGTCCAAAATCTTATGAGATGACTTGTCTTCTCCATTTCAAATACCTAGCTGAAGAATAAAGGAGACTTTCTCCCACTATAAAAAAATAAGAACAAAAACAAACCAGCCATTTTCTCGGTGCTTGTTATGTTAGACTATATGCTAACCACTGTGGAGGCCCATGGGAAGGCTTATACTCGAGTTCTTAAGCTGTTTGCAATCTGAAGTGTAGTTTCACCTACATACTGCTGTCCCATTCTCCTTTACTACAGTTATACTTAGCTGCAACTCTTACTTAATACATAATGAAGTACTACTTACCTCTATCCCTTTTGTCATTTCCCAGCTCCTAATTTAGTTATATTTGTACTATAATCATGCTATTTTAAAAAAAAAATTTTTTTTTCAAGTGATCTTTCCAATTAAGTGTACATCTTGCTAAAAAGTCAACTTTAAAATGGAAAAAAAAAAACCACACTGAAAAGATTAATTTCAAGGTAAGCATTAAAACTATTTTGTTTTGTGGGTAATAGACAGACCTCTGGATCAGAACGCCGAGATGTGATTGTGCCTGGATCTAAATCAACTGGAAATGATTCCAGTGAATTGAGACATTTAAAGGTATTTTAATTTTTAAATCTCTACATGGAGCAAGGGTTCCTGATCCAGGATTCATGAAGTTTTTTCTGGGAAAGGGGTCCAGTGGTGTTCCTGCAGTCCCGAGAGATACAGGACTACTAATGGAAAGTGATACAGAAGTCCTAAACTGTTCCTCCAAAACTGAGGTGGTAGCAAAATGATCAATGATCTCCTGGGATAACTTTGAAGTAACAATTATTATGCATATGTTTAAGCAGATTAGTTGGCCTGGATTTGGGAATAGGTTAGGGAGCCATTCCCCCCAATTTTTGTTTCTTGGTGTGTTTAATCATAGGATCTGACAAGGCATCTTATACAGCAAATGAGGGTAAATGTGATGTGTCTTTGTAAATTCAAAAGATACAATTTTATTAGTCTCTGATGCACTGATTTTTAGGGGTTATACTATTCTTATTGTACTTGAGTTCAACCACTGAACTCACAATGTGGGTCTTTTCAGTTTGTATTTTTTGTGATTCCTCTCTTTCATGGTCTATGCTTATTTTAACTAATCACAGCTATCTTAGAGTATAGAAGCATAATTATATCAAAAGTTTACTTTTTGGATTTAGAATAATTACTGTTTTAGACTTACACAAATCTTAATTTTCACTAATGTTATTTTTGGGATAAAATATAATCACAGTAACAAAATAATGAGGCATGTCTTATGTTGGATTCAAAATTTCAATCTCTCTTGGGGCGCCTGGGTGGCTCAGTCATTAAGCATCTGCCTTCCGCTCAGGTCATGATCCCAGGTTCGTGGAATCAAGCCCCGCATCGGGCTCTCTGCTCGGCAGGAAGCCTGCTTCTCCCTCTCTCACTCCCCCTGCTTGTGTTCCCTCTCGCTGCGTCTTTCTCTGTCAAAAAATAAATAAAATCTTAAAAAAAAAAAAAAAATTTCAATCTCTCTTTTTAATTGAATATATTTTAGCAGTTGATTATGTCCATTGAAAGCACATTGCCCAAATATATGGTTATATGGACATTCCCGATGCTCTAGTCAATAATTCAAGAAATTAATCTGTTCTCAGTTTGTGAGTCTACATCTGATAATAGTAGGTAATCTAGTTAGCAATCTTTTCACGTAGATGAGACTTCAGTATTTCGAACACTAAGACAAATTAGTGTTGTTGTTTATGAGACTTTATTTTTTTGATACCTTATTCTTTTTATGTAGTCTATTCAAAATATCCATTCCAAGGAACCTCTGATGTTAGATGAGAAGAGTTCTGAACTTATTACTGATTCAGTAACCTTGAAGAATAAAACGGAATCAGGTCTTCTAACAAAATTAGAAGGTAAGAGAAACAAGATAAGCTTCCTTAATTAAGAATACCACTTTAGGGACGCCTGGGTGGCTCAGTCAGTTAAGCGCCTGCCTTTGGCTCAGATCATGATCCCAGGGTCCTGGGATTGAGTCCTGCATGGGCTTCCTGCTCTGCAGGGAGCCTGCTTCTCCCTCCCCTTGCTTGTGCGTACTCTCTCTCTCTCTCTCTCAGATAAATAAATAAATAAAATCCTAAAAAAAGAAAGAACACCACTTTGTTGCTTGTGGAAGTTGACCAGACATCTAAGAATTACAATGTAAGACTGTATCTATATCCCTTTATCTTGGTGTCAGTTGAATTAAATAGAATGTATGAAAAAATATTGAATTCTGTAGCAACAGAAGTTTATTTGCCTACAAGGTGCCTAGAAAGAAGAGTGGAGGGAAAGTACAATGGGGCTGAGTTAGATTTCTCAGTTGGCTTGACAAATATTTCTGGAAAAAACAGAAGCTGTATTGCCTATAGGACAGTTCTCTTTTCTCTTTTATCAAACATTTGATTTTCCACCATATGAGTACTATGATAAATTTTCTAAGGGTATATAAATGAATGAGACAGGGTCCCAAGGAGATTGCCATCCAGCATGGAAGAGAGACTGATAAATATAATGCTGTGTAGAGTTTAGAGAGTGTTATGAGAACCACATAAATAAAATACTAAGAATTCAGAGGCGGGAGAAACCTGAAGAACCAATTGGTTTAGGATAAATAAGAAAATGTTTTGTGGAGGCAAAGAAACATGAAGAACTGTTTGGGTTTAAATAGGAAGAAATAGCAGTGATAGAGTATTTCAGATGGAGAGAATAGCAAAAGCAAAAGAATAAAACATTTTGGAACCAAAGACAGTCTAGTTACGTGAAAAAACTATAACAGGTCATGTAAAAGTGGGAGATAAGACTAGGTAGACTAAACACCAGGCTTAAAATTTTTTTTGTAAACATCAGAGTACCAATAACGATTTTTGAGCAAGATCACGAATTGGATGATTCTTGCCCAAACAGGTTGACAGATTGACTGTATTTTTTTCATTAACTGGACTGAGGAGGAAAACTGGGACAAACTAGGCTTGCCGAGACTCTTTGGTTTCCAAACTGAGACTTTCCTGGTGTTAGCCCTGGAAGTTCCATAAATCATCTTACCCTCAGTCCCTAACAAACTGGGACTGTTAATTGTCCTAGAATAGTCTTCTTTTGCCATTATTTTGACTCAGAATAGATTCCTATTTCTAGTATTTGGAGGAGATTTTCATGGCATCTGTTATAAATTGGTATTGTTGAAAAATCATTTTTACCAAATATGCTTGTTAATAGTACTAATCTGACACCTAATTTAATGTTTTTCAATAAAAGCCTGTTGAGTACCTACCTACACAGTGCCAGTAATACTTTATTATATAGTAAAACTTCCAGTCACAAAACTGCCCAAATCATAAGAGTATATAACCCAGTGAAATAGCATTTCAGGAGCACCTGGCTGGCTCAGTCGGTTAAGTGTCTGCCTTTGGCTCAGGTCATGATCCTGGGGTCCTCGGATCAAGTCACATGTTGGCTCCTTGCTCAGTGGGGAGCCTGCTTCTCCCTCTGCCTGCCGCTCCCCCTGCTTGTGCTCATTCTCTCTCAAATAAATAAAATCTTAAAAAAAAAAAAATAGCATTGTAGTCATACACATTTCTTCTGAGTGTATTTGAAGAGTGGGGTTGTAGGATCACAGGATGTGCATATGTTCAACTGTGGCGGATAGTGCCAAACAGTTTTCTAGAATGGTTGTACTTTTGACCAGCAGTAGTTTGCTCTTGCTCCATATTAGTCCCAATTGTTTTATTGTTGGTTTTTAATTTTAGACATTTGGATGCTGCTAAGTGATAGATAGCTCATTGTGGTTTTAATTTGTGCTTCTCTGATAGCTTACGATGTTGAACATCTTTTTCTATGTTTATTGGCCATTTGGATATCCTCTTGTGAAGTTCTTGTTTGAATCTCTGGCCAATTTTTCTATTGGGGTTTTCTTTTTTTTTCTCATTGATTCCTAGGAGATATTTATATCATCTAGATACATATCCTTTGTTGGATAGATGTGTTACAAGTAACTTTTCCCATTATGTAGTGAAGACTTTTTAGGAAAAGAATTCTTAAATATTGTGCATTTTAATTTATCAGTCTTTTCCTATGTGGTGTTTCCTGTCTTTAAACAAATCTGTTCCTATAATGATATTTCCATATATTTTAAATGATTTATCATCTTGCCTTTCACATTTAGATTTATATTCTATCTGAAATTAATATTTATGTATATGTAAGATGAAGTATCAAGATTCTGTTGGTTTTTTTCCCCATGTAGATATCCAGTCGGTCCAGCATCATTTATTGAAAAGACCCTCTTTTCCCTCAGAAAATTATAAATTAGATGATCCTGTGTGTGATGTTTGGTTTTGGATTCTTTGTTTCATAGTTCTTTTTATCTGTCTTTGTGCCTGGGTTCTTAATTACTGCAATAAGTATATCTGTCAGTTGTAAAATCTTCCAACTTCATTCATCTTTGAGGCTATATCAGCTATTTAGGGCTTTAGGGTTTCTGTATAAATGTTAGAATCTATTTTGTAAAAAATGGGATTTTGACTGAGATCCTAACAGGACAGGTTGACATCTTAACAGGTAAGTTTTCTCCTCCACTAACCTGGCATATCCCTTCATTCATTTAAGTAGTATTTAAAATGTTATTGAGAATCATTTTCTGTGTTGAGACTTTTCTTATCTTTTGCTAGAGTTATTCCTAGATATCTGACATATTTTTGATGCTGTGATGAATAGGATCTTTTTTTTTAAATTTTTTAAATTTTTTATCGTCTACTTCTTGTTGTTGGTATATAAAAATATAACTGGTTTTAGTTATTGATCTTAAATACAGTGATGTTTGCTAAATTTACAGAATAATTCTAATATTTTTCTATGGATTCTTTCATGCTGTTTGAAAATAACATTTTTTTCCTTCTAATTCTTTTAACCTTTTTTTTTTTCTTGCTGTATTGCACTTAACACCATGATGAATAGAATGGATGATGAATAGATGAATAGAAAGGATGATAGGTGCCGATCTTAACTCATTCCCTGTTGTAGAGGGAAGCTTTCAATATTTTACCCTTTTATGATAATTGCTGTAGATTTTTGTGGCTACTGTTTATCAAATATCAGAACAGTGAATTTTACTTTATACTCAGAGTACTGTTAGGTTTTTTTTTTTGTGACTGAGTGTTGAATTTTATCAAATGCTTTTTCTGCATTTGAGTTGATCATATATTTTTCTTCTCTGTTGTGTTATGGCAAATTAAATTGATTTTAAAAGTTAATCAAACTTTGTATTTAGGAATAAACAACTTGGTCATCATTATCCCTTTTGTATATCAGTTACAAATATTTGTTTAGGATTTTTGCATTTATTATGGTAGGAATGAATATTGATAATCATAGGAGAGTAAATATATTGTTGAGGCTCTTTTGTTCAGAGACCATTAAGAAAATAAGATACAGTCAGTCTAGTTTAAGGTAAAATTTTTGGTAAAAAACTAGAGGTCTATGAAAAGTAGTGGATTAGCTTTTCTCTATTAGCAAGACCTTATGAGGTATATATATTTTTAAATTTTTACTTATTTGTTCGGTGTTTGCTGGTGAAGACCAGAAGTACTTAAATTCAGAATGGCTTCTGATAAAGCTCTAGGTAGCAACTTAGGAAGATGGCTGTGGCACCTAAGTAAAATTGATTTGCTAAAAACAAATTGTCAGCAGCTGGCTTAAAGTTTTTAGTTTCCTTTTTTTGTTTTGTTTTGTTTTGTTTTGTTTTGTTTTGTTTTTAAAGATTTTATTTATTTATTTGAGAGAGAGAGAATGAGAGAGAGCGAGCACATGAGAGGGGGGAGGGTCAGAGGGAGAAGCAGGCTCCCTGCCGAGCAGGGAGCCCGATGTGGGACTCGATCCAGGGACTCCAGGATCATGACCTGAGCCGAAGGCAGTCGCTTAACCAACTGAGCCACCCAGGCACCCGTTTTGTTTTGTTTTTTAAGAGCAAAGTGCTAATACAGTTTGTAACATGTTCTGTAGTTCAGATTTAATCTTGTTATTATCAAATATTCTCTCCTTTTATTGATAATAACCACAAATGCAATTTCAGAAACTAAGGAACATCAAGAACCAAAGGTTCCAGAGAGTAACCAGAAACAGTGGCAGTCTATGAGAAAGCCAGAATGTGTAAACCAGAATCCTGCTGCATCTTCAAATCAGTGGCAGATTCCAGAGATATCCCGAAAAGTTGATAAAGAGGTAACTTTCTTTTCCTCTCAAGTATAGCATTGCCATTGTTTGTAATGTGGATGATCATGTTAAATGTTTTCTTCTTTTATTTAATCCTTATGTACCATAGTTAGTGGAATAGTTTAAAGGGTTTTTTTATTATTATTATTCACAAAACAGTGATTACTAATAGTCACAGATTCAGTAGAAGTGTATGTTAAGCGGAAGTCTTTTATTTTCAGTGGTGTTTCTAGATTTCTGGTAAACTGGTGCAAGGGGTCAGCAAACTACAGCCTATGGGTCAAATCTAGTTCCCAGCCTGTCTGTAAAAAACGTTTTATTGGAACACAGCCATGCCCATTCATTACTGTCTATGGCTGCTTTTGAACTGTAAAAGCAGAGTTGAGTAGTTGAAATAGAAGCCACCTGTCTTAAAAAGCCTCAAATGATTACTTTCTTGCCCTTTACAGAACACGATATGCTGATTCCTGAACTAGTGCAATGCTGTACCAAAGCATTTGACAATTTCCTTTTGACATCCCCATGGATAAAATAGGATAATATAGACTAGACAATATATATGAATTTATAACAGGTTGAATGATCATTCCTAGTGGCCAGAGGTCATTTTAGAAGGAATAATCTGGTAGGCTACTAGAGAGCCATACCTATATAGTCCATGGCTATACTTTCCTCACTGTTTCTTTTCAGTTATATTCTAACCGAGTGGTTCACACATATTTTGGTCTCGGGGTCCTTCTTATACTCTTAATTATCAAGGCCCCTAAAGAGCTTTTATTTATGTAGGTTATATTTATCTGTATTTACTATATTAGAAAATAGAACTGAGACATTTTAAAAATATCTAATAACTTATTAAAAATAACAATAATAAATCCATCACGTGACTATAGATATACTTTTAAGAAAAATAAGTATTTTTGTGTTTTCTCTCATTGAGGTATAATTGACATATAACATTTGTTTCAGGTATACAACCTAATGATTGAATATTTGTATTACGAAGTGATCACCACAAGTTCAATTAATATCTGTGGCCATATAGCTACACAATTTTTTTTTTCTTGTGAGAACTTACAAGATTTACTCTCCTAGCAATTTTCAAGTATGCATATACTATTAATAACTGTAGTCACCATGCTATCTTCATAACTTGTTTATTTTGTAGTTAGAAATACCTTTTCTCTTTTGACCCCCTTCACCCATTTCTTCTGCCAACCCATCCCCACCTCTGGCAACCATTAATTTGCTCTCCATATCTATGAGGTTGTTTTAGATTTCACATATAAATGATACTATGCAGTATTTGTCCATCTCTGTCTGGCTTATTTCACTTAACATAACGCCATCACTGTCCATCCATGTTGTCACAAATGGCAAGATTTCATTTTCTTTTATGGCTAATAATATTCTGTGTGTGTGTGTGTGTGTGTGTGCTTGACATTTTCTTTATCAATTCATTCATCCACTGAATTGACACTTAGGTTGTTACCATATCATGGCTATAGTAAATAATGCTGCAGTGAACATAGGGATGGGTGCATGTATCTTTTCAAGTTAGTGTTCTCATTTTCTTTGAATAAATACCTAGAAGAGGAATTGCTGGATCATATGATAGTTCTATTTTTAATTTTTTGAGGAACCTCCATACTGTTTTCAATCCGTGGCTGCACTGATTTGCATTCCCACCAGCAGTGCACAAGAATTCTCTTTTCTCTACATCCTTGCCAACACTTGTTATTTCTTGTCTTTCTGATAACAGTCATTGTAACAGGTGTGAGGTGGTTTTGATTTGTATTTCCCTGATGATTAGTGGTGTTGAACATCTTTTTATGTACCAATGGCCATCTATATGTCTTTGGAAAAATAGGTCTATTTACATCTTTGGCCCCTTTTCTGGTTGTATTGTTCGCTTTTACTGTTGAATTATAGGGGTTCATTATATATCTTGGATATTAACCCCTTATCAGGTATATGATTTGCATATAGTTTCTCCCATTCAGAGGGTTGTCTTTCATTTTGTTAATGATTTCCGTTGCTATGCAGAAGCTTATTAGTTCGATATTGTCCCACTTACTTATTTTTGCTTTTTTGGCCTTTGCTTTTGGTGTTAGATCCAAAGAAAATCCTTGCCAAGATGGACATCAGGGACCTTACTGCCTGTATTTTCTTCTGGAAGTTTTGTGGTTTCAGGTTTTACATACAAGCGTTCAATCCATTTTTTTTTTTATTTTATTTTATTATGTTAATCACCATACATTACATCATTGGTTATTGATGTAGTGTTCCATGATTCATTGTTTGCGTATAACACCCAGTGTTCCATTCAATATGTGCCCTTTTTAATACCCATCACTAGGCTAAACCATCCCTCCAACCCCCTCCCCTCTAGAACCCTGAGTTTGTTTCTTAGAGTCCATAGTCTCTCATGGTTCGTCTCCTTCATTTTTCCCTTCCTACTATCTTCTCTCTCTCTCTTTTTTTTTTTTTAAATATAAAGTATTATTTGTTTCAGAGGTACGGGTCTGTGATTCATCAATCTTACACAATTCACAACGCTCACCATAACACATACCCTCCACAATGTCTATCACCCAGCCACCCTATCCCTCTCACCCCTCACCACCCAGCAACCCTCAGTTTGTTTCCTGAGATTAAGAGTTCCTCATATCAGTGAGATCATATGATATATGTCTTTCTCTGATTGATTTATTTCGCTTGGCATAATACCCTCTAGTTCCATCCACGTCGCTGCAAATGGCAAGATTTCATTTTTTTTTTTGATGGCTGCATAATATTCCATGGTGTGTGTGTGTGTGTGTGTGTGTGTGTGTGTGTATATATATATATATATACACACCACATCTTCTTTATCCATTCATTTGTTGATGGACATCTGGGCTCTTTCCATAGTTTAGCTATTGTAGACATTGCTGCTATAAACATTGGGGTACAGGTGCCCCTTTGGATCACTACATTTGTATCTTTGGGGTAAATACTCAGTAGTGCAATTGCTGGGTCTTAGGGTAGCTCTATTTTCAACTTTTTGAGGAATCTCCATACTGTTTTCCAGAGTGGCTGCACCAGCTTGCATTCCCACCAACAGTGTAGGAGGGTTCCCCTTTCTCCGCATCCCCACCAACATCTATCATTTCCTGACTTGTTAATTTTAGCCATTCTGACTGGTGTGAGGTGGTATCTCATTGACGTTTTGATTTGGATTTCCCTGATGCTGAGCGATGTGGAGCACTTTTTCATGTGTCTGTTGGCCATTTGGATGTCTTCTTGGGAAAAATGTCTGTTCGTGTCTTCTGCTCATTTCTTGATTGGATTATTTGTTCTTTGGCTGTTGAGTTTGATAAGTTCTTTATAGATTTTGGTTACTAGCCCTTTATCTGATATGTCATTTGCAAATATTTTCTCCCATTCTGTCAGTTGTCTTTTGGTTTTGTTGACTGTTTCCTTTGCTTTGCAAAAGCTTTTTATCTTGATGAAGTCCCAATAGTTCATTTTTGCCCTTGCTTCCCTTGCCTTTGGCGATATTTCTGGGAAGAAGTTGCTGTGGCTGAGGTCGAAGAGGTTGCTGCTTGTGTTCTCCTCTAGGATTTTGATGGACTCCTGTCTCACAGTTAGGTCTTTCATCCACTTTGAGTCTATTTTTGTGTATGCTGTAAGGAAATGGTCCAGTTTCATTCTTCTGCATGTAGCTGTCCAATTTTCCCCAACACCATTTGTTGAAGAGACTGTCTTTTTTCCATTGGACATTCTTTCCTGCTTTGTTGAAGATTAGTTGACCATAGAGTTGAGGGTCCATTACTGGGCTCTCTATTCTGTTCCATTGATCTATGTGTCAGTTTTTGTGCCAGTACCATACTGTCTTGATGATGACAGCTTTGTAATAGAGCTGGAAGTCCGGAATTGTGATGCCACCAGCTTTGCTTTTCTTTTTCAACATTCCTCTGGCTATTTGGGGCCTTTTCTGGTTCCATACAAATTTTAGGATTATTTGTTGCATTTCTTTGAAGTTGATGGTATTTTGATAGGGATTGCATTGAATGTGTAGATTGCTCTAGGTAGTATTGACATCTTCACAATATTTGTTCTTCCAATCCATGAGCATGGAATGTTTTTCCATTTCTTTGTGTCTTCCTCAATTTCTTTCAAGAGTATTTTATAGTTTTCTAAGTACAGATCCTTTGCCTCTTTGGTTAGATTTATGCCTAGGTATCTTATGGTTTTGGGTGCAATTGTAAATGGGATCAACTCCTTAATTTCTCTTTCTTCTGTCTTGTTGGTGTATAGGAATGCCACTGATTTCTGTGCATTGATTTTATATCCTGCCACTTTACTGAATTCCTGTATGAGTTCTAGCAGTTTTGGGGTGGAGTCTTTTGGGTTTTCCACATAAAGTATCATATCATCTGCAAAGAGTAAGAGTTTGACTTCTTCTTTGCCAATTTGGATGCCTTTTATTTCTTTTTGTTGTCTGATTGCTGTGGCTAGGACTTCTAATACTATGTTGAATAGCAGTGGTGATAGAGGACGTCGCTGCCGTGTTCCTGACCTTAGGGGGAAAGCTCTCAGTTTCTCCCCATTGAGAATGATATTCTTATAATTCTTTGTATTTCTTTGGTGTTGGTTGTGATCTCTCCTCTTTCATTCATGATTTTATTTATTTGGGTCATTTCTGTTTTCTTTTTGATAAGTCTGGCCAGGGGTTTATCAATCTTGTTAATTCTTTCAAAGAACCAGCTCCTAGTTTCGTTGATCTGTTCTACTGTTCTTTTAGTTTCTATTTCATTGATTTCGGCTCTGATCTTTATGATTTCTCTTCTCCTGCTGGGTTTAGGCTTTATTTGCTGTTCTTTCTCCAGCTCCTTTAGGTGTAGGGTTAGGTTGTGTATTTGAGACCTTTCTTGTTTCTTGAGAAAGGCTTGTATTGCTATGTACTTTCCTCTTAGGACTGCCTTTGCTGCATCCCAAAGATTTTGAACAGTTGTGTTTTCATT